GTTTATCATTCTAATTGCGTTGTTGTTTAAATATTTCTTTGAATATGTGTTTAACCGCATGCTATTTAATTGAATCATATGCCATATTAGTAGCCGAACCTATTAATTGCATTCTTTGTATGTGTTGCATTAGTTATCTTGTATAGTTAGGAACATGCATTTTTCTAACTTATATCTTTTTGGCTTGGAGTACTAGGTGAGTTTTAGGGCTTTAGCATACTTGCATGTGTGTGAATGTTGCCATGACTAGCATGCTTGCAATGAGGCTAAATGCTTAATTGTTAAACTGCTTGAGTGCTTGTAGATGAAAGCTTGTTGTTTGAATTGGAACGATTCAACGAATGTATGTTTAGGCCCACTGTGTCTAGTGGTAAATTTACAGTTTTAAGCCCACTTTGTTGAGTAGCAAATTCGCAAACTTTAAGCTCACTTGAGGTGGCAAATTCAAACCATTTTTCAAAAAACAAACATGAAATTGAATTGTTCCAATTCGGGCAAAATAGTCTATACTTGCTTGTGCGTATCACGTAGTAATGCTAGCCTAATAACCGGAATGAGAACACATAATGTTGATAAAATTTATGTCATGATTAGTAGAGGCCGATCTTTGATCAGGTGAGCGGGGGTGCTCAATTCATGACTTTCCCCTCTTGTACCTAAGTTCCCGAGCCGAGACAACTTTGGTGATAACGGACACGTGGCCTTTGGCACAAGTCATGGGTTTTCTAAACTTCCCCAAAATAAAATATTTAGGTGGCGACTCTATATCTGGCAAAGCAGTCCAATTTTGACATTTTTGATCCAAAAATCAATTTTTCAAAAGATTTACCGAATTTGGACTCTTTGGTGTTTATCAATCTCACTTTGCACGTATGAGATTAGATTTAGAACCTCTGGAATCCGAACTGTGGGGCTTCTTTCGAGTTTCCGAAAGGGGGCGCGAAAAAGTCGAGCTATAGAGGGGCGCTGGTAATATTAATACAGCGCCCCCCTGTCACACCACTCGCACCATTCACACCGAGTTTTTTAATTAATAGGGAGGCCTTGTACGACTGGTGTAAGTTCACTGTTTATCTCTACAAAATGCCTCGCCAAGCCTCTTTCCGTTTCTATGCCAAGAATGTTTTCCTCACATACCCACAATACCCATACCCAAAAGAACAATTCTTAGAACTTCTCCAATCCCAACTCCAACTAGCCTGTTAGTCATACTACATACTTGTCGCAAGAGAGCTCCACGAAGATGGAAACCCTCACCTTCGTGCCATGGTTCAATGCACAAAGAAGATCCAAACCTCCAACCCGAGATTTTTCGATCCCACTGGAACCAACGACAGAATATATCATTCAAATATAGAAAAACTTCATTCTCCAATAGCAAGTCGACAGTATATACAGAAAGAGGGCAACTTCGTAGAATGGGGAGAATTTTCATCTAAGGGGAAAAGTCCTTTGAAGAACATAGATGAACTCTAGCGAGGAATACTTGCAGAAGCAGAAACGGAGTAACAATTCTTTGCACTCTGCAAAGAAAGGTGTCCCACTGATTACGTCACAAAATGCCCCCAATTAAAAATATTTTTGAGAGATCATTACAAATAAGAGCGGCCCCCATATAAATGGGTAAAATGTTTTTACAAGGATAATTTTGGTATTATTTGGGGAGATAAATTTGTTTTTAAGGGTTTTAGAATTTATACGTGGGGTTCCAAAGAAATAGAAGGTCTAAAATAATTGATGGAGTGCTAATAGCATCACTCAATTCTATCTCCACACACCATTTACTATTCTTACATATTATTTCTCAATTCGCACGCTTATATATTTGGTAACATTTTATTTCATATGGCTCTATTTACATCCCCAAAAAATTAGTTGGACACTCCAATACTTTGGAGACCCCAATATAAAATTTGAAATTTATTCTATTATTTTGAAGACTTTAAATAATACCTATTATATCATCAAAAATCCTAGAAAAGTACTTTGTACACCCCTACAAATCAAATAGGCTCCCAAACCACCCAAGGATATGGAAACACAAAGTTGAATATTTTTATTATTTTCAGATACTCAATAGCAAATAAAATTGAATTTATTTAGAAAAAAAGTTCCTAATATATGTAATTTTCTTAGAGATATAATACCAAATAGTTTTTTTTTTTTTTTTTTTTTTTTTTAATTAGAAAAAAAGTTCCTAATATATGTAATTTTCTTAGAGATATAATACCAAATAGTTTTTTTTTTTTTTTTTTTGTTCGAAACTGGAATATAAAGAAATTAGAAAATTAAATGTTTGGAAATACAAAGTCAAACATAGACAATTTGTTCAGATATTAAGTACTGAACAATGTCAAATAATTTGAAAACACAGTTTTAAATATAATTTGTTCAGCATTGAATTTCTAACAAATTCCAAAAACTCATCAACCGAAAGTGATAAAGATGAACGAAAAACTTGCATTATCTACAAACATTTTTTTTGTTGTCCACTATTAACTTCAATATGAAGTGAAATGCAAGAATGATGGATTTAAGGGAAATATTGTTTGAGTATAAACATGTAAAGTGAAAAAAGTGAAAAGACAATAGAGAATGAAAGGATTGAGGTTGATTATGAAATGAGGTGTCCAAAACACTGATTTGCAATTTTTTCAACATCAACTACGTTTTAGTCATATGGAATAGGAACATAATAGTAATAAATTTTTGTTATTAAATTGGGTTGTCCAACCAACTTTCTGGGATACAAATGGAGTCACCTTTTATGATCATTCCACACTAAATGTTTCAAATATATCCTTAACCTATAATTTGTACACAACACATTTACACACATCACACCCATAACTTTGGCATATCAAGCAATCCTTTAACACATTTTCAATAGTTCTCCATCTCCAACATTGAGTTCCATTGCATTATCGAATGCTAGTGATTATTAGCCACTCATTTTCTAGTTATTATAGAATAACTTTACAAAAATAAATTGTAGTTTTACCATTTTTTATAGTCATTCGACATTGGTTGGTGAAGAAATATAAATAACCTATTCGGTATTGATTTTTTGAGCCAATTGATTTTATTCAACAATCAACATTTGAACCAAATAGTTTCGTTCAACACATAACTAGCGGATAATTTGAACCCATTCGATTCTGTACATCTGAAAGGAACAAACTGAATGAAGTAAGATACTTTGAAGTTAATTTTCGAATGAATAAAATAATTTCAGTTGTTGATTTGCCAAATGGAGAATTGCGAAAAAAAAAAGAAAAAACTTCCGCACATGGAAACTCACCTTTCATCGCTGCATTGGTTGTAACCTTACATATTCTTTTCTAAATCTAAACTTTCATTATTTTGCAAATATTTCATCACACAAATCAACAATGACGGATAGAACAAGTTTTTTTTTTTTTTTTAATATTCTAAAAAAAATAATTTAGAAAAATTGACCCACTTTTCAAATTATTTAGGAAACTAACCTGTTTTTTGAAATCACATTTTGAAAATGTAATTTTAAATTGAAAATTGCATTTTCAACATTCAATTTCAACTTGAAATCGCATGTTGAAAATGTAATATATCTTAGTAAAGTTCATGTCATCATAAAATTGCATTTCAATATGTGATTTCAAGTTGAAATAACATGTTGAAAATGCGATTTTAAAAAGCAAGTTAATTTTTCAAATAGTTTGAAAAGTGAATCAATTTTCTACATTAATTTTTTTTAGAATATTTATAAAAAAAAACTCCAAGTAGAACAATAAAGGGAGTGAGAAACAATGTAAGTTTTAACATGATGTGTTTTAAGGGTTTTGTTTTGTTTTGGTTTTTTTTTTCCTTCAAAAGATGTGCGTTGAGAATTTTTATTTGTAAAAGATGTTTACATAGAAAACTTAGTTTTAAGATTTGATGTGTCTATTGATATGTCTATAGTAGTCATTTTGTTTGATAGTAAATTGTAATAAAAATTTAATTCATTAAGTATGTATACAGAGAATAAATAATGTATAAAAATAGAATTATCTATTATTTAACGACTAATATTGATAGGGGAGGTCAATGTTATTTTATAAATCTCAAACAATGTCTATGTAATTTTCATAATCAAGGGAGGTCATTGTAATTTACCCTCTCTGATTTCTTTTGCAGTTTTTTTTTTTTCTCAGTGATTTTTTTTTTCAAAGAAAAATTACTTTTAAAATCTTTATATATTATACTCATAGAAAAATGTTGGGAACCCACCATTTCGGATTTTGAACTAATCCTAAATGTATTTGTATGGTAGAAATTGAATTGATGAAATGTAGAATCTATATATAAAATAAATTTGAGTCATTAATTTCTTCTCTGAATAAATTCTGAATTAATAAAGGTGAGTTTTTATAGTATTGTTGTATATCGATTAAAAAAAAATAAAAAATTACATAGTAAAAAAAGGAAAAAAAAAATTAAAAAGGAAAAGAAAAGATGACTTAGGGATTGTTTGGGGTGTCTTAAATAAGTGCACTTTTTGTCTTTTTAGACTAAAAAATTGAGGTTAAAAGTATAGATGTTTGGGTTAATTTTTTGACTTTTTATGGAAAAATGTGTAATAAAAAATTATAAAAATTGATTTAAAAATTGATTGGTAGGGAAAAATTCGAATTGGGAGTTGTGCAACCATAATTGTTGACTTTTGATGAATAGTATTAACTTTTTAACTTTTTAAGTAACTTTTTGTCTTTTTATTTTTTATTTTTTTTTTTTTAAAAGATCTCAAACTTGCCCTTAAGTTTAAAGAAAAAGAATCCGTCAACGTGATCTCATTTCTCTGGAGCCATCCTGACCCTCCAATCTAGTCTCCTGCTTCTCACGCTGAACCCTTTTAGAACTCTCCAGGACCCAGAGCTGCTTTCTCTTATTCACACGCAGTTCCTCAGTCTGTCTCTCTCTCTCTCTCTCTCTCTCTCTCCTGATTCGTGAGCAGTTTCTCTCTCTAGATTCGTATCGAAATGGATGAGGATTTTGATATTCCTGCGGCCGACGAGATGAACGACGATTTCGACCTCCCAGACGCGAGTCCGATCATGAAGGTCGGTGAAGAGAAGGAGATCGGGAAGCAAGGTTTGAAGAAGAAGCTTGTGAAGAATGGTGAAGCTTGGGACACTCCTGATAATGGCGATGAAGTTGAAGGTAAACTAGTTATTCATCCATACATTCACCACTGATTTTGTATCAATCGTTTCTCTTTTAGATTATTTTTTCAGTTTAATTCGTTCCATTTTCTGATACGGTGTTGATTTGCACTGGTTTTGGATGATCTGGATTGAATACCAGTTCATTACACTGGAACTTTACTTGATGGGACTCAGTTTGATTCGAGTCGAGATAGGGGTACTCCGTTCAAGTTCACTCTCGGTCAAGGTAAGTGTATTTTTTTTTTTCCCTCTTTATTATTATTATTATTATTATTATTCGAGATAGGGGTACTCCGTTCAAGTTCACTCTCGGTCAAGGTAAGTGTATTATTATTATTATTATTATTATTATTATTTTATATCTCGTTTGATCTATTTTGGTGTATGTATGTTTATGTTTATTACATTGTATAATTTTTTTTTTTTTAAATTTGCTTGCAAATGTTAGGAAACCAATATAATTAGGGGGTCTACTTCTTTTCAATTACTATCTGAATCAATTTAGGAATTACTATCTGAATCAATTTAGGAAGTCTAATTATATTAGGAAGTCTATGTTATTTATCTTATAGAAGGATGCTTATTGTAATGATTTTGAGGAGGAGATTTAATAATATTAAGTGTTTAGGTGACTAATCCCCAATTCAAAGATTGTTGGTGTCTGATCCCCAATCTATGGTGTTTGATCCCCAATCTAAGGATCAAATTCAAGGTCTAGAACCCTATCATCTGGTATCAGAGCAGCCATTCATCATCATCAACATGACTGTTAAGGAACTCGAAGAACAAGTTGATGCTCTTACTACTAGGACGGACTTGATGTTTTCTAATATGCAAGAGTTGATACGTGACAGACAAACCAATAATACCATTCTTCAAAATATCCAAGCGCTGTTGAGCGCTGTTGCAGGATAGGCAATGTGAAGCTTGCTTTTCCCAACTTGGCATCAATCTTAATCCACTTATACAATGGGACGACAACGACGATCGGCGTGCTGGTCCAAATTTTCAGGCTCAAACTCTTCGAATTGATTTTTCAAAATTTAATGGTATTGATCCTAAAGGGTGGTTATTTCAGGCTGTACAACATCAAGAACTTTGGTTCCAGTTTTCAAAAAATTTTACTTTGTTATTTTTCGTATTTTAATGTTTTCAATTAATTTTTTTAATATTTTAAGCAATTTTTTTTTAACCTAACATAAACACACTTAAAAAGTATAATATTTGTGAAAAAAATTCTTTAAAAAATACACTAAATACCAAAAAAATACAAAAAAAATTACAAAAATTTAGTATATTTTTGTATTTTTGTGTATTTATTAATTTTTTTAAATATTTTTTCACAAATATTTTACTATTTAAATACATCTAAGTAAAGTGTATCTAAAAAAATAAAAAAATTACTTAAAATTTAAAAAATATTCACTAAAAACAAAAAAACACGAAAAACAATAAACTCATTTTTCAAAAAACTGAATTCAAAAAATCGAAACCAAACATACTGAATGGTGTTTTAGACACACAGATGGTTCCTTTGACTGCAGTGTACCTTCAAGGCAATGCTATTTCTTTGTATTGTTGGATTAAACTGTCCCTTGGGGTTTTGACTTGGCAACAATTTTCTCGAGCCATATGCACCCATATTGGTTCTCGACAACAAATTGATCCTTGTAGTTCATTAGCCAAACTGTCTCAGATTGGCACTGTTCGTGAATTTATTATGGAGTTTGAGCGACTTGCTAATATAGTTCTAGGTTTGCTTGAGTCATATCAAATTAGTATTTTTCTTTCTGGACTTCATGCCGACATAAGGGTTGGTGTTCGTTTGCTTCATCTAATGAGTCTAACCGAGACCTTTGAATTAGCACTTGGCCAAGAGGATGCAATTATAGCAACTGAGAGGGTAATTTTTGGTAAAAATTGGGCCGAGCTGTGAGATGGGCTTTACGACCCAAAGTACGAAGGATTGGATAAAAAGGCCCAATGGAAATGTAAAAGTTATTCCGGTCCAACAGTAAGAAAGTTACTTCGGTTCAAGAATGGTAAAGTTACTTCGGCCCAGAAGAGATGTTGAATTACTTCGGTCCGTACAACTTTTCTAGTAAGGCCGGTCTCGGAGATAGTCCGGCCATGATGTGTTCTGGGTAGGTCGGTCGGAATGTTGCTACTCGGTAGATCGGTCCAACCACATCATGGTTCGTGCATGAGAGAACCGAAATATGATGTAGCAAGAAGAAGAACCGAACTACTGTTAGTACGGCCTACTCCGTGGCTCGGTATAGCCAGTATTATTTCGGTCATGTGGTAGCTCGGCCATAGTAAAAACCATCCCACTTGGTTTAAGCAGTGGGGGGTGTAAAAGGATAAGCATTATCCTTTAGGAGTATGAATCCTAGGAGGACTCTGCATGGAGAAATAAAAGTCCTACTAGGATTGGGCCACTCGAAACCTATAAAAGCTCACAAGCATCACCTTGGAAGGAGGTAACATAACCCCACATACAATTTTGCTTCCTGAATACATTGAGCTTTGTCTATTTGTCAAGTTATCTGACTTAGGCATCGGAGAGGTAATCTTTCTGAGACATTGAGCTTTTGTCTATTTGTCAAGTTTTCTGACTTAGGCATCGGAGAGGTTTCCGGCACACACCCGCCGGCTAGCTCACGTTTGTGTTTTCAGGTGACAAAGCGACGTCGTACGGAGGAGCGTGGACTTAGTCAACAGGATTATACGAGGAGAATTATTTCTTCCCCGTACAGCAACCATCGCATATAATATGACCAAGACTATTTCTCGTCCACCTTCTGCATGGCCTTCTAACATATCTTATGTACCTAAGCCTGTACCTAAGTTTGTTAACCAATTGCCATCCTTATCTACTGGTGTTAAACGTTTGTCATGGACTGAATAGAAGGAACGACATGAGAAGGGTCTTTGTTTTAATTGCGGTGTGATTTATAAACCTGGTTATCGATGCCAAAAGCCACAATTATCTCTGTTGGAAGGTGAACCAGAGGTCGAAGTCTAGGACTTCGAATTTGAAACCATAATTGGTGGTGTCCCAGAACCCCCAACTTCTGAAATTTTGTTACATGCTCTTATGGGGTCAACTCGACCAGAAATTATGTGCATCAACGACACTCTAAAAAATAACCTATTACAGTCCTCATTGACTCTGGTTCCACAAATAATTTTATCCATCCTTCAATTGCTAAACAGTGCGGTTATTCTATTCAAAGGGACAAGTCTTTATGAGTCATGGTGGCTGATGGTGGATTTTTAAATAGCTTGGGTAAGTTTTCTGATGTTCAACTTAATTTACAAGGCTATATAGTTTCCATCGAATTTTTTCTTTTGACTATTAGTGGCTGTGAGGTGGTTTTGGGAGCACAATGGTTACGATCATTAGGCTTAATTGCTTGGGATTTTCGCAATTTAACTATGAAATTTCAAGTCGCTGATCAAGAGTTCACTTTGGTTGATGATGGTTGTCCTATTGCTTATGGATAATGGCCTGGTACATTGTCTTTTACAGCGTGAGCACCACAGGGTCCTTCTACAGCGTGAGCATCAGCCTCTTTCTCATCCTTATTCCGCCACTACTGTTGTTGATGTTTTTGTAAGAGATATTGTTCGCTTGCATGGCATGCCTCGTACAATTAGCAGTGATAGAGATCTCATCTTTCTTAGTAATTTTTGGAAAACCTTCTTAACTATGCAGGGTACACAATTACGTCGGAGTTCGGCTTATTACCCTCAATATGATGGTTAGACCGAGGTTACTAACCGCACTTTAGAGTGTTATCTTCGATGTTTTGCGGGTCAGAAACTTCACGATTGGTCTCATTGGTTGCCTTGGGCTAAATGGTGGTACAATACCACTTATCATTATGCTATTCAAATGATTTTGTTTGAGGTTGTCTACAGCTGTTCTCCACCTTCAGTTTCGGCTTATCTTTCTAGTGCAACTGTTGTTCATACAGTTGACCTTGCTTTACGGGATCACGATTGTACTTTGCAACTTTTAAAGGATCATCTACAATTTGCTAAAACTCATATGAAATTCTATACTGAAGCTAATCGAACTGAACGCTGTTTTGCTGTGAATGATTGGGTTTTTTTTTGCGGCTGCAACCTTATCGGCAATCTACAGCTACTTCGCAACATTATTCCAAGCTTTCTCCCCGTTTTTATGGACCTTTTCGCATTATTGCGCAGGTTGGTTCTGTTGCATACAAGTTGGACCTTCCTGAAGGTTGTCGCGTACATCTCGTTTTTCATGTTTCTGCCTTGAAGTTAAAGTTGGGAGCAAATGTTACTTCCAACCCCTACTTACCTTCTCTTGTTGATGTTTCTGAATGGGTGCTTGAGAAAATTTTAGATCGCGGCGTCTTCAAGGTGAACAATTAAGCTGTCACACATTGGCTCATTCAGTGGAAGGGTCATTCTATTAATGAAGCTACTTGGGAAGACCATGCTGCTTTTTGTGCTCGTTATTCCGATTTTCCAGCTTGAGGACAAGCTGTGATTCTAGGGCGATCGAATGTTAGGAAACTAATTATATTAGGAGGTCTACTTCTTTTCAATTACTATCTAAATCAATTTAAAAAGTCTAATTATATTAGGAAGTTTGTTATTTTTCTTATATAAGGATGTTTATTGTAATGGTTTTGAGGAGGAGATTTAATAATATTAAGAGTTTAGGTGGCTAATCCCCAATTTAAAGAATTGTTGGTGGCTGATCCCCAATCAAAGGATCAAATTCAGGGTCGAGGACCCTATCAGCAAAAGACTGTAGTAACTTGGCTGCAACAGACTCTTCATATTTGAAGAGTTTTGAGAAACAATGGACAGTTGGTTGACTTGTGTCAATCATTTCATTTAGGTTTGAAAACGCAAGTTCCATTTTGCATAGAATTTACGTAGTTACCAAACAAATATTATACAATTGACTATGCCAATTGATTTGTTATTGTGGCAGTTGCAGAGTGAGAAACATCAATTAATCATCTTACAATTGATTAGGTATTGACTATTAGAAAAGCTTTATTGATGGGGTCAATGTCTTAAAAATTGGACCGGTGAGTGAACCGGAAAAAGGTTTGGGTGGACGGGTCATTGATTCAACCATCAGGTTGAACCGACTTCAAACTGTGACATCATAATTATTATATAAATATTTTTATAATTTAAAATTAATAGAATACATTCATTTAAAAAAAATTA